TCCGAAGACAAAGAGAAGCCAACGGAGGGACCACATACCAAAGGCTCAGTCGCACAATGGCCAACCGAATCCAAAGAAAGGCCAACAGGAGGACCAAAAACGAACTGATCAGACCCAGAAGGACAAACCGAAGGAGAACAAGGATCAACAACATCCTTCACCTCTGAGGTGGGAGACATGGTATCTATTTCCATGCACTCCACTTGTAATACCTCAGAGGCGACGGACAGGCTACTGTGACGTGCGTGTTTGACACGCAGAGGTCTTGGCATACCACGCCCAAACAAAGCTTGGTTACGAATTTGAGCGCGAGCTCGACGAATACAAGTTTGTTTGGCGGTATTAATAGTGGAGAATGGCACCGGGAAGGACCGCTCCACAAACGATGACACCACAGGCAATGGCACTACGGCAGAGGACACCAAAGAAGGTGTTACTACCGAAGAAGGCCCAAAAGAGCAGGCAGCAACAGGAGGAGGGGCCAAAGACGTTGACGCAACAACAGCAGGCACCACAACAGCAGGCACCACAACAGCAGGCACCACATCAGTTGGATGGGCCAAAGAAGAAGCCACTGACACAGTAGAGGCCTCAGCAGGAGCAGCTACAGCACGAGTGTTCTCAACAGCAGGAGAATCTACTACAACAGCAGAAGGGGCCACCACAACAGCAGAAGGGGCCACCACAACAGCAGAAGGGGCCAAAGCAGATGGCACCACAAGAGGAGGTACAACAACAGGACGTACTACAACAGGACGCAACGCAACAGAACGCACCGCAACAGGACCCACCGCAACAGGACGGAAGGAAGAAGAACGCACCACGGCAGAAGATGTGTCATCACCAAAGAGCTTGATTAATGCCGAATTGGCTGAATTGCCAAGGAAAGACAAGAAAGGCCGTAACAGCAATAATAATCTAGAACAATAACACAATCTCAATTAACACGAAGCTATATTTTATCTGTCTAGTGTTACGTACCCTAAGGACGAAACGAAAATCGCCAAGAACTTAAATGGGAAACAAAACAAAAAGTTAATCTTTGATGGAGATTCCTAATGTGCAGTCATCTTACATAAAGCTTTAAAAGCAGAGGGAGAAGGGGTGACGCTCTGTCCATATAAAAATAGAACAAGATTGATTAGAGAACATATACTTGTAAAAGCATAAAAAATACTTACAAAAAAACAATCGACAGGATAAAGTAAATCATTTTTTCAAATAATACTGCTTTGAAAGAAAGAAAAGAAAAAAATTGGCGCAGTTCTGTAACCAGATGTATAAAAAGTTTTGTGACAGTCACATTTAGTGCATTTTTTGTATTTCCTTCTTTAACAAAAACAGAATGATAAAAAAATGGCTGCCCTAACTATTCCTACCTGCATAGTTTCGAAACATAAACTTAAGTTGTTGCTCTCTCTCCAAAAAATTATAAATGAGTAGATCTAACTGTAATTTAGATGGGAATGATAAATCATGCAAATTCAATGTCAAAACCAAATTGAGATGCTAACAAAAACGACAAACTAGCGAAGCGTAGGATTCGTGTTAAGCCCCATTGCATAGTTTAAATGGCAAATAAGATGGTTGAATCTTGAAATGACTAAGCCATAAGAAATCCCTGTTAGGCTATCTACTCCTACTACTAACTCTGTGTTGTATCTAAAGACATCATTTAAGACTATACAACAATCAGAAGTCTCTCTCCGAATGAGTCGGTGAAATTGTTGTATGTTAGTAGCCACCCAACTAATATGCTTTTAAAAAATAGCTTCAAAAACGTTTATGTTTGGTGTAATGCATTTTCAGGTCAATTACGTCCGCTGGTTTAGAAATCATCAATGTGACATGGACCTATCATATTTTTGGACTTCAGCAGAAGCATTTTGGAATATACGTACGGCAATTTTTTTGTCTTTCAACAAAGATCTATGCAGCGGACATTCTTACAAGAATCAAATATGAATACCTTTTGTGAAATAGCACAAAATGTAAACGCATAGAACTTGACGTTGAAAACAGGCTGATAGAAACCAGTAAAATGTGATATTTTGTTGGACAATAATAATCTGCAGTTGATCAGTTGGATCATGTAGAGAAAGGGAAGAAAGTTGATGAAGTAGATGTAATTGAGGAGTAGGTAAATGAAGTGGAAAAGATTCCCATAGCTGAACTAGTGGTTGGAGTAAATATAGTTGAAGGTGCGGTGAAAGTAAAATACGTAATAAATGCTATTGTTGCCAAAAGAAATATGTTTAACAAATAAAGGTCTGCAAAACTTGACTCGACTTAACGGAAGATTTTTTAATTATAAAATAACCATAGGCTTTGATTAATAACAGATCATTGAATCTTAGGAAGACTCATAAATCAAGTGCGTTATTTGATCCCTAATATCACAAATAAATAAACGTCTTTACCCGTCACTCAATTATTGTATATATACTATATCCGGTGACTGTTTGCATTGGGTTTCGAAACGTATCCACCCGAATTTATAAAAGTTAAATGAAATGACAAGTCTTTCCTAGTTATAAAAATCCAAATTCCGATACCAGACCCTACAACAGCCAAACATAGATATCACAATTCCTGTTCTTTCTTACAATATAGAAGCTTAAGTCGACTGTTATATTTTAACCAGCAATAGGAATTGGTAAGAGAATCAAATTAATTTTAGTTTACTCCCTACCCACAATAGTGTAGTTGGTTTCTATGTCTTAAATTACATTTAAGTTACACGCATTATTTGTGGAGCTTTCTATCCGAAGGCTGTAATTGTAATTTCAACCGATCCAATAAACGGTCAAGAAGCTCTTTACTCTTTCGAAAAATAGTGAGTTTAAAAGTTCCCATGTAAAACCGAGAAGATCATCCGTTCTTATGGATAAAGAGCTATGTTAATGCTGGTTCTCTCAGCATACAGTCTGATACCGAAACCCTATTCTTGGTTGTTAACTCCATCAAGTTCAATTTACTTCAACACTGCGTATTATTAAACATGTGTAAGTCATTCAAGTCTTTCTAGTATGAATTCATTATCAAGTATCAAAAGAACTGCAATTTAGAGAAATCTATTTTACACATAATGAATCTCAAGCAAGAAAAGAATGAATTTATTGCGTCTTACAAGAAGTTGAAGAACAATTATGACATTATGAAGATAAAACTGGCTCGCAAGATCAGGGTCAATTGCAAAGATGATGAACAATCTATTGCTGAGAATTTTGAACTTTGTAGTACTTTAATTTTTAACCTGGAAGAGGTGCACTGCAAGCAAAATTTCTCTAAGGTATTCGCTCTAAGTATAGTAAGCGATAAGTTAAGTATGGTAAGCCGACCTCTCTCAATAATATGCATAATGGTTTAATGAGTCCCTAGGATCTAATAATTCCGACAGTGAGGAAGCTTCTTTTACAGGGGGATCTAACTCAGACGACGACTGATCAAGCGAAGATAACCCCGAAGAGACATCTACGGATAGCGACAAATCTGATCATAAAAGTAAAACTAATCAAATCAACCCAAAGTCCAAGCCGGTAGTCAAGAAGAGACCCAAGTTGGATGCCTGTCGGACTACTACGGTACTGAACGATATGAATTTCTTAAATTACAAATTCGAGAACATGACTCAAATGTTGGTTTGTGGTGACTTAACAAGACCATGTGTGGTATTTGACAAGATTGATACAATTGAAAAGTAATAAGATAAAAGTATCTCTTTATTCGAGGTAAAAATAAACTAAAAGAACTCTGCTGCTATGAAATAATTGATCTTTTTTATATTGCACAACTCTCCTGACTTTTAATGATGAGCCAACCTTTCTGGTTTTGGAATAGATCTATACTTTTTTTTACGCCTTAGTTAAATTAATACTACTCGTCAGAATTGTTTCCATTTAGCGTTGTCCCATATCAGTGGATTAGGAGCATGAGTATTCTAATAAATCTTTAGTATTACGAGACACTTATTTTATCCGACCATGCAGCGGTTACAGTAAAAGATGCATACCTGTTTCTCAAATGTAATTGACAGTAAAACATAATAGTTATAGTTGATCATATATTTTCTCTCTGTGTAATGAGTATAATGCGATTCCAAATAAAAAGTGACTTATTGAAATTCGTATATTTGGTTGTAGAAGATAGGTATCCATTGATTCATACACTATTTCTTCATACTCTTTATCAGCAGTATAATTATATCAATTTATAAGTAAATGAGCCATTGATATTAAAAGCTGTTCTATTCTCTCCCTGGGTAGCGAATCCATTGTAAAAACTATTAATATTAAGTTTCTGTTTCTTGTAATTCTTGATTTGATCTGAGAAGATTCTCTTCTCGATCGGTGATATCGTACCTCAGTGGTATAGCATTCTGTAAACAACTGTCATTCGTATATCGTATTTAGGCCAATCATGCAATCTTTAATATAGAAGTATGTACTCGAAGTAGGACAAGTTGTAGAGCAGTATACAACCGTATGCTGATATGCAGCATCAAAGGTTGTTTTAATTTCATAGTTTATTTATTTAAACGATTTGCTTAATTATTCTTAAGTGAATCGTACCCAAATACGACAGGCTGATCAAGAACATTGTTTGGTGTACATGTTAATAAGTACCCTCATCTAGGAAACAGGACTAGCAACAGAGTGGAGGGTACTCACTCTGCTATAAAAGCTGCTTTGGCGCATATTTCTTCGGGTAGAATTTCCACTGTCACATCAAAGATTGACACTTGGTACAGACGACGAGTAATAAATAAACAGATGCATACAACTCGTTTGAATGTAAATCAATAAAGGTATTTTGTGCATAGAGATTAGAAGAAAATCGTCAATACGGCGTGGAAATGCTTGAAATCCGAGCCGATTTAATTGACAAAGCAATTGAATATCGATTCAAAAATTTGGTTTTTAAAATCACCTGATTTGCTATAGATCATATTTGCCAGCAGATAGATTAAGCCAAGTCGAAGCCAGCACTGATTAGCGATAATGACGACGTTACATCCGAGAACTGCAGATGCAGCTGTAAATTGCATTATATACTGCCTTGCTACCACCAACTTGCCAAATGCGATATCATCCCATTGGAAATGGTACCTAAAAGAGGGCGAATCCGTCAAGGTAAGTTTTGAAATAGTGACACAAAAAAGTTTAATCAAAAGTTCCAAAAATTACTAGTTGACGATTATGCTATTGGTACTGCCGATGAGATAGAAGAATTGCCTGAAGAGTTTCACAACTCTTTTCATGGTAGGTAGTCGATTTAAATGGCTTTATACAAAATTATTTATAAATTAAGTTTTATGTACAGTATCTTTAGATCACAATTTTCAGCACGAGGAAAACGAAAGGGGAAAAAGTAATGATGGAGTTAAACTTGCTTCTTTTCCTGAACTTCCTTCAAAGATTTTCTCAACGTTGAGAGAGATTGATGATTTCAGTAAATCAGTAGTTGCAGAACAATTCAATGTCGAAGTTTTGCATAATTTGACTGAGGTTAAAGAAAAACTACTTGGATCCAAGTTTGATCTGGCTGCAATTTTACCACCTTTAACCAACATGAAGGTTAAAGGCACTCGTCGTCTGGAAATTGCGGTCGAAAAGTACGAGAAAGATATGAAGAAGGCTGACGATCAAAAGAGGAAAAAGGAAAGGCGGATAAAAAAAAAGCAGTTGAAAAATCTGGAACATAAAAAACAAAAAAAAATCGTGTAGTACCAAATCAAAGCAGAATGCAAAAACAAGTTCGCGGGCCTAGACGTGGTAAAGTTCTCCGAAGCTAACTCCACTTCAATAGTTCCATTTTAGATTCGGATGATTCGGACACTGATACTTATGAGATCAACTCTTGCGAAGGATCTTTAAACGAAGAACCCATGGGGTATGTAATTTATTAGCAAGTGTATTTTCTCATTGTATGACAAACTAAAAATAAGATAATGCATTTATTCGTCTATATATATCTATAAACATGAAGGGGATATTAATAACATGGTTTTGGAAGTATCCCTTTCTTCCAACTTCAATCTTGACGATATTACAGCTGTCTACAGCCCTGTAGGGGATGGCCAATGTGGATTTAGATGCCTGGCCATGCCTTTGTACGGATATCAGAGTCAATGGATGGAGGTAAGGGATGTAATGACCAGCACCTTTCAGATGTACAAACATACTTTGTACGAAGGAAGAGTAAACAACGAACTTTTGAAGAAATTTTGACGTCCAAGGACTCTCCTTGCGCGCCTCATTTTTACTTCAATGCAGCAGATTATCCCCAGTTTGCAGCTGACGCATTTGGAAGGGCCATTGCTGTATACACGGTTTCATCAAAGGCCCTGGTGAGACCCGGTCTTCTTCTCTGGTGTAACCCAAGCAGTCTGAAAGGAATACACATCTTACCGAGGGCCGGCCATTTTTATTTGATAAATCCAAAAAAGCGGGAATGCGGCCGAGCAGTAAGTTGTATACTGCCAGATGACAATCCTTACCACAAGGCTGTAATGAAGAAATGCTCAAATTTGTGTGAAAATGATTTTACAATTTTGTTTTAAAAACTTCTTGATTTGGATTTTTTTTAAATGTCCATTCAAGTAAAAGATTATACAGTAGGTGGATTAATTGTCCGGATGATATTAGAAAAAGGCTAATTATACGCGCACCATACTTTTTGCTTGAAAAAAAAATCTCGCGCACCATTTTTTTCTGTCCGGTCAAATAATAAAATTCCGAGTCGGACCAAAAATGATTTTTGCACATTGAACTTTTTTCTTGCGCACCATGCTTTTTTCGCTGGCGCACCATAATTTTTTTCGCTGGCGCACCATAGTTTTTTTCGCTGGCGCACCATGCTTTTTTCGCTGGCGCACCATAGTTTTTTTCGCTGGCGCACCATAGTTTTTCGCTGGCGCACCATACTTTTTTTCCCTGGCGGACTATACTTTTTCGCTGGCGCACCACACTTTTTCGCGCACCATATTTTTTCTCGCGCACCATTCTTGTTTACGGCTCTTCATTCTTTTTCTTTTAACTTTTATTTTTGAAATGAATTCAAACGATTCACAACAATCTTTGAGTGAAAGCCAATTGCTCATCAATAGTCTTTTATCTGTTATCAATCCTGTAGACGAAATCAAGGACAGTTTCGAGGATGCCTTTGATAGACAAGTTTATGAACAGTCCAACACTGATGAAAAAGTGACAGTAGAGGAATACGACTGGGAATGTCTCAGTGAACCTGAGATGGAGGACATTAGCGTCAAGGCAACACGACACGTTCCATCTTTTGCTGAGACTGTGTCGGTCAATGAACGTGTTGCCAATGTAAAGGCTATTTTTGAAGCCGAGTTTCCTGTTGGAAAAGCCTTTGCTGACAAGGAAACTGCAAGACTCGAAATACAGTCTTTCAGTAAGGCTAACAATATTCCTTTTGAGACTTTTAAAAGCGATAAGTCTTACATCAAAATGATCTGTAAGCATTTTGGTAAATATCGTGCTGCCAAAAAGGGAGAAGGTAAGATTGACACAATTGCGATATTTATTGATATAATTATTTAACGTTGTTTTTGAAACCAGATGAAAAGGATGCCGTTGATGATGATGACTTGGAAAACAGCATTCAAAGACCCAACAGGACCACCGGGAGAACAGGCTGTTCAGCCTTCATCTACATTCGTAAGGATGTAAAATTAGCTGGAGAGCCTTGGACTGTTCGATCCAGCTGTTTCGAACACAACCATCCTTTGAGCGAGGATAAGAGGGCTTATCACAGCAACCGAAAGCTCAATGCGGATGATCAAGAGTTCGCCATTTCGCTTATGCGTGGAGGTACAACTCCCAGTGAAACGTTAAAGGTAATGTTTAAAAATGAGATAAAGAGATCCTTTGAGAAATCAATAGTTAGGAAAGCTGTAATCATAATAAAAGTTATTTTGCCAATATTATTCTTTATAAGTCTAAATATGTCCCCCATTTATATCTTAAAATAACATCAATTTCCTGGTAATTAGATGCTTGAAACAAGAGGCGTAAGCAACCTGATTGTAACCGATTTAACAAACATCCAACAACAATTCTGTCGGGACAGCCACATTGACATGTGGAATTTTGTCAAGAATCTTGAATCAAGTGGCCACCAAGTTCGATTTTTGACAGATGCTGATGAGAGAATTTGCAGCGTCTTTTTCATTCACCAACATGGAATCGACGAAGCTAGAAAGCTTTCAGAATGTATAATTGTGGATGCCACCTACAAGACCAACTCACATAAGATGGTCTTGTTGAATTTCGTTGTCGCTGGTACTTTAAGATCAAAAGAAAAGCCAAAGCAGTTGACAACAGTTCCAATTGCAGGATGTTGGATGGATCGGGAGACAAGCGAGCGCTACTGCTGGGCTTTAAACTGTTTCCGTGATATTGTTTGGCCTACTGGAACAAGCACGGATAAATTGCCCAAGTGCTTTGTTACTGACAACGATGAAGCCTTGTTGGGAGCAATCAAGTCCGAGTTTCCCGAGAGTAAACAAATTCTTTGCTGGATTCATATCCAAAGAAATTTTATTCTGAGATTCAAGAAGAATCTTGCCAAGGAAAAGAGACTGGATAGTATGTTAAAACAAGTTACGTTCATTAGTCCTCATAAACTTACCAAATAAACACCTTATAGAGAACAAAATGGAGATGGAGGTCAAATCGTTTATGGCTATCATCAAGCAAATGGCTTTAAAATGCACAACAAAGGATGAATTTTTGCTTGCCAAAAATGAATACGAAACGTTCGTGTCTGCCAAGGGCAAATGTGTACAAGGTGGTGCCCAAACGATGATTAAGTATCTGCATCAGTAGGTTTTTTTGTTTTGTTTTTTTCTCTTAAAAATGCCTCTTTCCCTCTTTTTATTAACTAGATACAAATATAGTATGATGAAAAAGAAGCAATACTGGGTAGGTTATTATGTTAACAATTTAATGCATATGGGAAACAGAACTTCGAACAGAGTTGAGTCTACCCATGCAAATATCAAAAGAAGCAACAGCACCTCATCTGGTAGCATGGCAGTTGTCACTGAAAAAATAGATCTTTGGATTAAAAAGAGAGTACGTAATGTTTAAACATATTTTTATTTTGTTAACTCTAAAAAAAATTAGGAGGATTATCGAAATGTACAATCAATCAAGGAATCCATGACACAAAGAACAATTTTTTTGGAAGATGATGTAATGGATAAACTTGCTCTGATCAAATTAAATGTTTCAAGCTTTGCTTTTGAAAATATCAAGAATGAATTGATGGAAATGAAGGCTGCTGAAGAAAAGCCTGACCATGTAAGCCATGTGCGCCCTGGAGAAAGCTGTCTCTGCAAGCTCAGAAAAAACTTTCGACTTCCTTGCAGACATGTTCTTGCCGTCTCGTTTGTTGAGAATAAAGTTCCTCTGGACATTGTTCACGAACGATGGAGGATCACATATGTGAAGGGAACTGGTAAGAAATTAATATACAAACTGAATTAGACTGAAATCAAAATTAATACTTTTCATAGTCGCCACAATTGCTGAAATTTCCGCTGAGATGAGCAAAAAGTCTAATGAAACATTGCCTATTGATACCAGTGCTATCCAACTTAGGTTGGAAAAGCTTCTATCATTAAGCAATGTCTTAGGTAGTCAGCAAGAATCAGCCGATCTTATCAAAGATATGGATGCTTTGATCCAAAAATATTCGGTAGACCGTCTGGAAACTGTTCTTGCCCCTTCAATTGTTGAAATACAAAAGGGCCGACCTAAAGGGACAAAAAGAAACAAGCTTGGTGTGGAGCATGAAGATGAAAAAATCTCGATAGAGCAAAAAAATGCCAAAAAAATGAAGCAGGAAACAATAAAAGTAGAAAAGCAAAAAAAAACCAAAACGACCTTAAGTCTTCGCAAGCCATCAACAGCCGTGATCAAGCAGATCAAGTCAAAGTATTGGTCTATGTTATATTTTTAATTATTTTACAACAATAACACCTATTTGTTTTTCTAGATACGAGCCTTCCACTGTCATAACTCGTGAAGCAGATTACAGTGGTCTGTTTGGATTGCTAGATAATGCATGGGTCAATGATGTACTTGGGTTCGTCAACCCCCATCCTGATGGTAATTGTGGATACCGTGCTGTAAGCCTCGCTGTTTTTGACAATGAAATCGCTTGGATCCAAGTGAAAAAAATGATGTTAGCTACCTTTACAAAGTATGCTAACACTCTTTACAACACATATGGGCTAAACGAAGCGTATACCTCAAAAAAATTGCAATCAACAAGAGCTCCCTGTCTTGATGACTTAAGTCTTTGGTTCGACTGTTACGGATGCCCACAAATTGTTGCTGACACTTTCAAAAGACCAGTAATTTTACATGCTACAACACCAAAAGTCGATAAGTATGAAATCACGTGGAGAGATAATGATGGAAACATCATATACACCAAAGATTCTATCACTTTTGTACCACTTCTTGGTCTGGATTTGGAAACAATGAATGATCCTATTCAACTTTTGTTTGCCAACAGTCACTTTTACATGATTTTACCTCAAATCGATAACAAAACGAAGAAAGCTTGCAAAGTCAAAAAATGGCCAACATTAAACTTTTCACACCAAAAAGTATTCGACGCGCACCGAGACATTTGTGTCAACGACGTGTCTCACTACTTTCAAAACAACTAGACAGGATAATTTTATAATTTGCTTCCCCAATCCTTAACATTCTCCCAAACTTTATATTTTATCTCATAATAATCAAAACCCAAAAACAAAATAAAATTTAGACTAAAAGCATGAGCTCACACTCAAAACCACATTGATTCTCTTCATCACAAAGTATGGCGCGCCAGCGAAAAAAAATATATTCCGCCAGCGAAAAAAAAAGTATGGTGCGCCAGCGAAAAATTATGGTGCGCCAGCGAAAAACTATGGTGCGCCAGCGAAAAAAACTATGGTGCGCCAGCGAAAAAATGTATGGTGCGCCAGCGAAAAAATGTATGGTGCGCCAGCGAAAAAAGCATGGTGCGCAAGAAAAAGTCCAATGTGCAAAAATCATTTTTGGTCCGACCCGGAATTTTATTATTTGACCGGACAGAAAAAAATGGTGCGCGAGATTTTTTTTTCAAGCAAAAAGTATGGTGCGCGTATAATTAGCCTAGAAAAATGACAAAAAGAACGATATCTAAAGACCCAATTATTCAAATGACAAAACATTTATATGGTTAGAAAGATTAAATTGTACTGTATAACGTGTGGTGACCTAGCAAGGCTATAGCCATATTAGAGCTAACAAAGGTTTATCCATGCTGATGCCATTTGTGATATACGCTTAACAATAAATGTCATAGTAAGAACTATAAGGATATTACATCACAAGTCTAATTTAGTACGTCTGAGAAATACTTAAAATTTAGTTTAAAGCAAAGAGAGTTAAGAAGACTCCACATTTATTAGAAGAAGACTAAATTAGTGACTGTGTAATAATCATATACATTTTTGGTTAATCAATGATAACTTCAAGATAGCACTAGAGATAT